AAAGTAGTGTATGTTTAAAAATATTTTAATCTTTTAACCGTAAACATTTAAATATTCTTGTATGGGGGCCAAGGGGAGTCTTGCCCCCGCCAATTATTTTTATAATTATTAATTAATTTAATTTTTTTTAAAATATTTTTTTAATTATCTATAAAATTTTAAAAATATCAATATGTTAAATAATTTATTATTTTACAAAATCAGAAAATTCCAATTAAGTTAGTGTACGAATGAATCGAGTCAGGGTGATGATAGAATCCTTTGAAAATTTTATTTTACATAAATCGAAAATAAATTCATCGTAACTAAAAACTTAATTAAACTTCGTGTTCTTCACATTGTCTTTTCTAACGGATCTATAGGTGAATTATTTTGAGCAAGTCACACGGGTGGCCCTTTTATTTTTGATATGTTTTATTTTGGTCATAGATTTTGGAAAAAAAATAACGTGTTCATCATCGATGTTATCAAGTAATTATATTTTGGTTACTCTACTGTTGACTTTTGTTAGTTTGACATGATATGTTATTAAAAGAGATTAATTTCTAATTTAATCCTTTAACTTTTAAATCTTTGTTTTTCACCCTCTTCAAACAAAACAAAAAACTCAACCCCCCAAAACTTATTCCTTTAACCTTAACTCTAACCCCAAGCATCATCCTTGATGATGTTGCCGCTGCCGCTGCTGTTAGCCACCACACTCCCCTTGTCCAAACCCCAACCTCTTCGTACTCTCGTTATCATTCATCTAAACCTCAAAACACAATAACCCCTCGACTCCCACTAATTTATCACGTCGTCTGTCGCAGTAGAACACATCAAACAAGTCTGTTAGCATTGTAGCACAAGTGTACACAACAACCGAAAGGGGACAGCATTGGTTGGACGAAGTGGGTTAAAAAGTGCTAGGGGTGGTGGAGAAGCTGGGTAAAAGGTGAGTAAATGGATGGAGATTGGCATCATCAGTCGTCGCATGCGCCTTTTCTAAACCCCAACTCCTTCATACTCTCATCATCGTTCCTCTAAACCCAAAACTCTAACAACCTTAAACCTCGACGATCCCGCAACTCCCTCTACTTTACCATGTTGTGCATAGTAGCAGAGCACATCAAACAAGCCCATTGGCATGGCAGTACCGACACACATTACAACCCAAAGGCGAGGGTGTTGGTTAGAAAAACCAGGTCGAATGCGTGATGGGATTGAAGGGAAAAGCTGCGGTTGGCCATAAGATAGGGGTGCTGGAGACGTTAGATAGAAGGAGTAAAAGGCCAGGGTAAGAGCTAAAGGCTGGTGTTCACGGGTTGTTGGGGTGCGACATGCACCATGGGTTAAAACGATCACGACCTGTTGATAAAATACAATGATGTTCCACCCGAGACCCGACCTAATATATAACTTAAAAACCCGATCTGACCCGAAATAATAATAAAAATATTATTTTATTCAATAAAATCAGTGACTTAATTAAAAATATAATATGTAGAGAGGTATTATCGTAATTAATATAAAATATATAAGGTAAAATTATATTTTTTTTCGTGTCGAGTCGGGTCAGAACCCGTCAGGTTCGGTCCATGCCCATCCCTACTTGAACATCGATTGAAGGCGATGATGAAAACAACGCTGATGAGGGTTAAGGTTAGATAACAAGGATTTTTTTTAGAGAAAAATGGATTTGGGTTTTTTTGATTGAAGAGGGTGGAAAATAAATATTTGAAAAAGTTCATAGAATAAATTAAAAATTAATATTTTTTATTAATATGTCACGTTATCGAACTAATAAGAGTTAACAACTCAATGGTCAAAAATATAATATATTAATAATGTAAGTGACGAACATGTTACTTTTCAAAAATCAGTGGCCAACATAAGATAGGCCAAAAATAAAAGGGATTGTTAGTGTAGTTTACCCAATTAATTTTTGATAGTATAACTTTACTTTTATTTCTAATTTGGTCATTTAACTTTAAGAAAAACTCAATTATATCACTAACATCCCACTTTGAATGGTGGGGAATTAAGGGAGGGGGACAAAATCAATACATCTTGATTCCATATTAATTTTATAGTGGATATTAAAAATCAGACTAATATATGATCAAAGATTTTATTATGGTTTTATTAATTTGCGAGAATTTCAAGAAAAATAAAACTAAAAAGAAAAAAAGGAGAGAATGTTTTAATACTAAGTATATTGTAAGTAATGGACGTTGATGATCGAACAACGATGAAAAAAAAAGAGATTCTAATTATAAAAAAATGAATGTGAAAATTTTATGAAAACTTCAAAAATAAAAGACCCAAAAAGAAATAGCTTGGCTGTAACATTAAACAATCGGATGACCAATACAAGTGAAATGCTAAAGTTTCATTATAAAATTTAAAAAGCATTTACTCTTAATTTATATCTAATGGAATTCACTAGCAATAGATAGACTGATTCCTACAACTTCCTACTATAACATTTTTAATTTGAAATAAAAATTTAAAATACGATTTAGGATGGGTGCAGGTGGCTAAAATTCAATCATTCCTATATGATAGCATGCTGGTTTCATTTCTGAAGCCATACAAGTAATCACCAATATTTGGCGTCTCCTACAATCTTCTTCCCCTTTGATCAAATTGTCAGGATTTCCTCGTGAAGATAACGTCACCTAACATTCCATGTTTTTATTGACAGGGAGTTGGTGGAATCATAGAATTGGCCCCAGGTTACTTGCCTGCTGTTTATAGCACCATAAAGAAAGCTGGAGGTCTTTGCATTGCTGATGAGGTTCAGGCTGGCTTTGCTCGCACAGGAAGCCACTTCTGGGGATTTGAGAACCATGGGGTCGTTCCTGACATAGTGACAATGACAAAGGTTATAAATTCTCTCATTTTCTTAGTTATGAAAATCTCCTAGCCACCTCCCTTTGCTAGATGTGCATTATAACAGTAATCTTACTCTGATCTGATGGTAACAATTTTTTTTTAAAAAGAAAATTCAATGAAGTACACCACTGGTCCCTGGAATCTGTTTTTGTGTAGCTTATCCATTTACTTGCATCTAACTTTTGTGCATCGACGTGTTTCTTTTACCACATGGACAGGGCATTGGAAATGGCATTCCTCTGGGTGCCGTGGTAACGACCCCTGAGATTGCGACGGTCTTGACTCGCAGAAGTTACTTCAATACCAATGGTGGGAACCCTGTATGCACCGCTGGAGGGTTAGCTGTCCTAAAAGTAATTGAAAAAGAAAAGCTTCAGGAAAATACATTTGTTGTTGGGACCTATTTGAAAGAGAGATTAACCGCACTAAAAGATAAATATGACTGCAAGAACTTATCCTTTCTCCTGTATATTCTGCTTTAAACATTCTCTAAACCAATGGTGACTGACATGGCTGATTGTACCATGTATGTCTGCAGTGATTGGTGATGTGAGGGGAAGAGGATTAATGCTCGGAGTCGAACTTGTCACTGATCAGAAGCTCAAGACTCCTGCAAAGCTAGAAACTCTTCATATATATAATGGACCAGCTGAAAGGTTCGAGTTCTTCCATTCCCCACAATAATCATATACCGTAGAATGTACTTCGCTTCAAGTTGCTAACAACCTATTTTTGCATTGTTCTAGAAACCGGAGTATTGGTGGGGAAAGGTGGAATTTATGGCAATGTATTTAGAATCACTCCCCCTCTCTGCTTCACTAAGGAAGATGCAGGTAGGCACGCTTCTTCGGATCGGTTATCATAGAGTCGAGTACCATTCTGTTTTTAATGAACGATGATTTCTTCTTGCAGATTTCCTTGTAAACATCCCTATTGTAAGTGAAGAAATAATAAATACAAATGCTATTTAAAAATAATGATAAATACAAATAGGTTTCTGCTTCAATAAAAGCTTAAAAGGGTTGGTAGCTATGGTTTGGAAATATGCTATTTATGAGTCAACAACTCGTTGCCTCTCCGGTTGATGTCGTTTAATCCTAACTATTCAATGCCTTTATGAAAAATTATTCACATCAAGGCATTTTGACGAATAAGACCATTTTGAATCTTGCCAACGCATTGCTTGTTTAGTATGTGTTCATGAATGCCTTATGCAGTTGTTTATTGCAATTTTGAAACAGATTGGATAAAATCGATTGCTTGATGTTTAATACTTTGATTTGCTGTTGTCTAATTCGTATGTTCGTGCTTTACGGGTCAATATTAATTAATAGACTGTCACTGGACTACACCCAATTACCCATTATATTTTAAACATGTTGGCTTAAATATACGCCCGATCCCTGAATTTGTACGAGGGATGGGACGAGACACAAACTCGATAAATTTTGATTTTGTTGGGTTTATTTATTTATTTTTAAAATACAAATTGATTTGAGTTGGGTTACGTTAGGTTGAATTTTTTTTAAAAAAATAAGTTCAGATCGAATTGGATTCAGGTTTAAGATGAAAATACCTGACTCAACATAAAAAATAATATAATTATATCTTATATATTTAGAGATATTTATAATAATATCCTTTTCTTTATTATTATTTTTCAATTAGATCACTATTTTATAGAATAAAATTAAGAATTATATATATATATATCTTGTGTGATTAGAAGATAATATAGGTTCATAATCATTTTTAGCTATTGACAACACACATTTTACAGACACAGTTACTCGAATTCAGGACCTCAATAAAAATCAACACTCTTTTTAACCATTTACATCACTCAATAAATTCGATAATTTTTTCCATCTTTCCAGATCATGTTTTCATACATTAAAAGTTATTTGATCCAAACTTTTGTTTATTTATCTATTAATGATAAAATATTATAAGATTTCATTATATGAGCAAACTTCTTAAATTCGATTTGCTCAACTTACAACTCAATCAAACCCAACATTCTTCAAAATATCTAGTATTTTATTTCTGAACTGATAGTTAATTAGGTCATATTTTTTGATTGAAGACAAATTATTCTTATGGAACTAAACAAAATCATTTGATTGATATATATTTCAATAATTAAATTAAAAAATGGGACCAAATTGATATTTAAATCAATAAAAAGGAATCAGCTTAATTGATGAATCACCCGAACTACACAGATGAATCCAAAAGACAATTCCATGTCCATCTTCATATGAACATATTATTACTACAAAATCCAAACATCTCTACTTCCTTTCACCAACCATGCTTTGGGTAGAACTAGAAGTAGTGCTCTTCATCTTAAGTCTTCCATCGCCATTTCCGAGTACATTCAAATCCTCAAACAATCTGTACGGAGGAATATAAGGCTTCTCTGCCAGCATCGGAGTCCCCCAAACATCACCATTGCTTGCGTTCACGGGGAATGAGTTACACATATTTGCACCAGTGAAATAACCTGGAGTATTCGCCCATTTAGGAAGTGGATACCCAGATGTGTATGGATGATACTGAGTTTGTGACTGGAACTCTTGTTGCCCTAAAACCAGTGGATTTGAGTGGTTCTGTGGTTGATATTGTGGTTGAACTTGAGGCTGAGCCCATGGAACAATGTAACTATCGTATGGAAGTGGTCCATGAGGGACCTGAGCTGGATGGTGCATGTTTTGGTGAATTGCAGGTGGTGAAGAATTAGGGGTATGGGGTGGTGAAGCTGATGATGTTGACAATGTCACGGTTAGAACATCAATCAATTCTTGCTCTTTTGTGGTGTTTTCTTGTGCAGCTGATTCCGACGGCAAAGATAACGCTTTGCAAAGATCATCAGTGGCAGAACCAGATGGCTCATATGAAGTTGTCACAACCGGTTCATTGACAGGCACAAGAGAATCCTTTGTTGCAGCAGATGTGCTCTGAGATGACCTCGACCCTGTTTTCGAACGCCTGAAATGCATATCGAAAAGTTAACCGATCGAGAACCGAGCGACACTCGTATTCGACACATATTCAGACACACCTAGTCTGTACGATGGAATAGAGGTTAGAATATGAAACCTTCTAGTTAGCTGTGCAAAATCTTCTTCGTCTTCTTCGATCAGGCTTCTTGTCACAACAGCAACACTTGCAGGTTGACAGATATTCAACGGCGGGCATGAATTCTTTGCCTCATTTGATTTTTCGATTGTAATTGCTTCAGTTGGCTTGGAGCTTACACTAGTAGTAACTTGAATTGTCAATGGAGAACCTGAACATATGGCATCATGTTTCGCAAGTAAGCTTTGCAGTCCATCATTTAGCTCAAGGCCCCGAGCTAATAGCTTCTCATCCCTGCCACATGATATCCGTTAGGAATTCGAAAACAGAAAAATAACCAAAACGACGTAAAAATAAAATAAATGCGATGCGACTCAAAACGCGTCTGAGTTTGTTGCTAAATCATGAACATCGACACTAACCCGGTATTTGTAAGCATCTGCATTAGCTTTTTTTGGTTAGAACGACATTGGTTGACAAGATCAACTATAACTTCATCTTTCACTGCCTACACATACAAAACAGAAAGATTATCAAAATTAAATGACAGAAAAAGGTTATATTTTGTAAAATTGAATTCCATTTTTGTTGTTACCGAATGGTCCCTAGGGTTTACAGCCTGCAGCATGTCACCTAAGAGATACATAGCATCCTTCATAGAGTCCAAGCTTGACAAACTAAGATAAGCAAAAGGAAAATTTTAGAGAAAAACATATATGCAACATCTCTGTAAGTAGAGAAATGTATACCTTAAATTTCCAATGTGAGTTTCGTCAACCCTTTCAGAAGAATTGCTTGGCGTTCCATAAGCAGGATGACGCTTAGCCAGTGGTGCAATGATAGGGACCGCATTTGGTGACGACTCGGGAAATGATACGCCTGAACGCTGACATTTGTTCACTCACATAATTTTACTTCTTTTTTCAAACATTCCACATATAACAAATATTATACTAGTATTTAATAAGTCTAACAAAAGGGATAGTTAATTGTGTTTTATTGACTCATTGATTATTAAAAGCTACAAAATGATTCTTTAATTATAGTTTATTATTTTGTTGAGTCTTTCGATTATTAAATATTATAAAATGATCATCTGACTATCATATGTTTCAAACTCGTCATTTTTTATTAAAAATTTGACAACAGTCTGAGCTGAACATTAACCTACTGACTGTGATAATATAATATCAAAATCTCAAACGACTATCATATCTCAGTCAACAGGTTAACACTCAACCTAGATTGTCATAATTTTTTTAAGAAAAAAATGACAAGTTTAGAATATATGAATAGTCGGGTGATCATTTTGTAATATTTAATAGTCGATAGACTCAACAAAGCAACACCTTATAATTGGGGACTATTTTTGTATTTTACCCTCATATTTAAGGTTAAACTTTTAAGTTTATAATTTTAGGATTATTTTATACATGTATATATATAGAAGATTAAAATCAGAAAGGATTAAAGGAGATCGGCCGTCTCGATCTCTTATTAAAAATTTTAAATTATCATATATTTTAAATATTTTTTTGTTATTAATTTATTTTCATTCCTTGAATTTTATAAGTTTGTCTCTCTATTAAAATTTTAAAAATTCTTCCCCTTCTCTAACTAAGATTATCTATTTATTTTTTCTCGTAAATATCCTCTTATTTTTTATTGTTAGTTTTAATCTTGCATTTTCACTCATATAATATTTCTTAAAAATATATAAAATTAATTTTTTTTACATAATATAAGTAGACCTGTCTCTCGATAAAAATTGAAAATGAAAAAATAAAATAAAATTATAACATAATAATTTAAACGTATTTGGGTATTAGCTAGGGTTACCTTTAGGTCTTGACATGCCCAATAGTACTGAGGATGTTCACCCGTACGACCGCCGAATTCCTCCTGCCATGACTCTAACAATCCCAATATTTTATCCCTCACTCTCGTATCTGCCTTCTTTTTCACCATTTTGATCATATCCCGCAGTACTTCTCTCTCATCAATCTGATAATGGACAAAGTCTCCACAATTCTTCACCATTGTCTCCAAAAGCTTCAAAATTAATTAATCCACATGAAACATCCCCCTCTCTCCACAAAAATAAAATATTTAATTTCCAATAATTAAAAGTTACCGTCAGAGCAAGTAATTGCACTTTATAATTCCTGTGTTGCAACCTTCTTTTCACTGCCTTTAAAAAATCCTTTCTTTGCCTGCAAATTCATCACCCATGAACAAATGTATAATTCAAAGGGACAAATTTTATAATTTATGAAAATAAATTATCAAAAAATATTTTCAATATATGATCATTTATAATTTTTAAGGAAGATGACTACCCGATGTATCCCAACATCCATTAAATATTATAAATAACTTAACTTTTCATATGTTACATTAAATATTTAACATATACATTTATACAGGATAATATATTAAATATAAATCCAAACCCTTTTTTTAAAAAAAGAGATTAAAATATTTTACCTGGGATTAGAATTAAGAGAATCACAAATATTAATGTTGAGAGTCCAATCGGGAGTGTTTAGAAGTTCGCTGGTTGCCTTGTCGACTGCCACTGTTGCAGCTGAGGATGGAACTGGTTGCAGTATCATCATCTTTTCTCTTTTTTTACTGGTCAATAATTCTGTTTGTTTCCCGAGGAAATTCAAACAAAAAGGAACAACAGCCTATAACCTTCCCCACAAAGAAAGAAAAAAACGCACACACCACCTTTTCCTTACCTTGTGTTTGAATGCCTAGAAAAAAAACATAAGGCCTAAAGAAAAATATAGAAGTGAAATTCTTTCTTGGTCTTCTTTGCTTTGTTTGTAATTAATTATCAGTGAAATAATGCATTTTCTTTATTGCTATTATTTTTATTCATATCCGGTGAATAGAAGGAGCGTTTGAATTAATATAATCACACTTGGTTTACATTACTAAAAAAAGTTCATTTCCCCCCACTTTTCTATCAACTTTTGGCCATGATCTTATCATAGAAAGGAAATTCTTTTTCCTCGGATTTCTAAAACTTTTGGTTAAAAATTTATCCTCGTGTTATGTATCGACAATTTATAAATTTAAGGGTAAAATATATAAATAGTCTCCAAACTTTTAGAATTTTGCATTTTAGTCACTCAACTTTTAAAATAATGCAGTCATCGAAATTTTAGTTGGTTTTCAGTAAGTGCCCTGCTGCTGCTGCCGGTAGTTCTTGGGGGTGAAGAATCGAAGCACCGGCCTCGAAAGTTGCACCGCCAATGGAGACAGTGGCCATTCGACCACTGACGACGAACCTGCTTTCGAAGATGATGATGTTGGGAGGGTTGGGTTAGGAAGGAGTGAGGTGGAAGTAGTTGCGTAGGAAGTGGACGACGGAGTAACCGCCGATGCCACTGTCGCTTCCGACGATGCAGACTGTAGACGGAGCGGATGCATCGGTTGATAGGCAGAAGATGAGAGGTTGTATAGAAAGGAGGAGGAAGATGAGGAAACTAAAACTGGGTTTGGGATCGAAAGCCATGAACTTTTGATTCTGGGTTTGTTTTGAACTGTTCCTTGTTGATGTTAAAGGATCCAACGGAGGAAATCTCAATCCATTTCCATGGTTACAGTATAAATATATTCATTCATACAGACACTGCAAGCTCTAATCGAAGGCTAAAATATTAATATTTTATCATGGTTGATTGAAAATTTTGAGCTTGGATTTCGAGCTCTATATGTTGGTTCTTTTGCTTACTAGAATCGCCATATAATATTTAGGGATAATGCAACTCCCCGCGTTGATAACTTTTATCAAGGTGTTTTAGTTTAGAGACAAGAAGACTTTTATCAAGTGTTTTAGTTTAGAGACAAGAAGACTTTTATCAAGTGGTTTTAGTTTAGAGAGGAGAAGAAGAAGAATAACGGGGTTAACGGAAGTTAAATGTCACGTCATATAAAACTAATGGAAGGTAACATCGGAACCTTACTAAAAACGAATAAAAAGTTGGATAATTGTATTGCAAGTTTTACAAGTTGAGTGATTAAACTGCAAGTGCCCTAGAAGTTCGGGGACTATTATATACTTTACCCTAAATTTAATTGACTTTTTTTTTCAATTCCAGATTTAGATTAATAATAACAAAATAAAAATGTAGCCAAATCATCCCAAAGGAACTTATATACCACATAATATGACTCAAAATCAATCAAAGCGACTAAACATAAATTTTGATCTAATTCATACATCTAATTAGTTTTAGTATTTAGTTGAAAGCTTTAAATTTCCAGTTCACTTGTGAAATTAAATAATTTTTATGTCTGTTGAAATTTTAGAACCATTTGAGTTAAAACCAAACCATAATTGTATTTTTAAAATCTTAGGACAAAATTATCAAGAATACAAAATACAATTAAAATCCATCTAAAATGCCAAATTTCAATAAACACAATTAGTACCAATACCAACAATTAATATCAACATTGAACCTTGAGTATTGATATTACAGGCTACATTGTAAAATTTTAATGTTTTAAAACAAAAATCTATCTCAGTTCATCATCATGAACTCTAATCATGTTCCTAACATAATGTCAATACATCAAACACTTAAAAATACACTTAAATGTCATGTTTGACGATAAAAACACATTAGATCATAATTTGAACATATGATTCATTTTGAGTCATTTTCAAACATATTATGCACTAACACTGCCATTTCATGCATCATAAGTCATTACGTTATTCCAACAAGTTAGATTAATCTTATTCATCATATTAAACATGCCCATGACATCAAGATCACACAAACACATTGATTAACATACTATGTCTTTAATCATGATGGTAAATCAATTATTAAGTTTGTTAAAGAGTTTCATGTGGTTTGTTTCCAAACGAGCTACCACTGACAAACTCCCATCATTTGTTGGGCTTGGCAGTATCACAATTTTGCCTTCCTGGACAATATTTGCTGGCCCCATAAAACTGGGGCGACCCCATCCGAAATCTGTATCATAAATAGACAACCGCACCTATGTATTTATACTAAGGTTTGGGCTGCGGAAAGTATGTGATCCTCTAACCAAACTGCTTAAATCAGACAGTGTCTCAGTGTAATGAAGAGCTGATCTCAAATATTCATCATTAATCTGATCTAATCGTTCATGGATCCTCTTTATAGTATCGGTAAACGATTCGGTTTTCAGATCACCAGCTTGAGTAATTAGTGCAGTTATAAAGATTGCATTACCGAAGTATCCTGCTGGGAGAGGAGGACTTAATTTCGATCGACCGTCAACCGGAATGTATATCTTGGTAGGTTGATCATCTGAGAGACCCCTGACTTTACTTACACAACGCCATATATGTGCAGCCAGTATGTTGAAAGTACTATATTTTGTACCATTATTTGCACCTGCTTTGGATTTTAGGAGATTCAATTGATCAACTGTGAGCTTGAAGGTGGAGACAATGGATGGCTGAAGATCATCCGAGTGGGAAACCATAGTCTTCAATGGTGGAGAAGGATCATATTCAACATGGTGAAATTTAGGCATCGGTGGGACTCGAGCACGAAGAAGAGTTCGATTGATGAACGGGGCAACTGCAGGCGACAAGCCCCGTGTGGTGTCAGCCCAACTATTGATGAAATGGCGAACCGATGTAGCATCTCCTAAAGTATGTTGCCTGTAACCCCCAGACTGATGCGATAACTCGATCCGATTTGGGTTGTCACATTAGGGCCACCGGAGAGACCCACTGTAAAAATAGCGGAAAATTTAAAACTTTTTATCCGAACATGTAAACTTATAAAACCATTTTTCACTATTTAAAAATAAAACAGATTTCCAGACTCGTATATAAAACAAAATAAAATTACATGCCCCCTAATCACATGTACCATTCTATGAAATCAACGCCGGAAGAACTCCCATACTAATGACGATAGTTGCACTGGTACAATTCTTTTAACCTGCAATGTTGAGTAATAGAGTGAGCTTCGGAAAGCTCAGTAATACAGAACTACCAGATGATGCTGATGAACGTGCAGATACAGATAAATATTTATATATCCTTATTGTTTCTGAACATTTACAGACTTTTATGCTGAGCAGAGATCCTACTGATATTTCAGGTGGTAATGGACAATGAGCTTTCAGTTCAGAGAAATATTTCGGATGACTAGTTCAGGAGATCAGAATAGGTTATCTAGTGTGTTCCCAAAAACCATGTAACTTTTCAGATCTTTTTAAAACATATATATATATATATATATATATATATACCCCTATCCGTCATGTACAAAATGTGTATGTTCCCCAGAACCATACAACCCCGTCACGTCCAGTAAGGCCCTAAGCACACAGCCGATGAGCCGACAAGTAAGGCCCTGAGCACAAAGTCGAGGAGCCTCCAGGTATTCTTCTTCCAATAATACCCCCAAATAAAACATGTTCCGTCCGTAAACGGATATATCAAAAATTAAAGCATAATTCATGTCAAATATCATATCAAAATCCAGGTCAAGTATCAGATCAGAATCCAAGTCAAGTATCATATCAGAATCCATGTCATATATCATATCAGAATCCATGTCAAGTATCATATCAGAATTCAAGTCGAAAATCATATAAAATATTCATGTGAGTAGGAAACACACCAGAATTTACAGATATTATTCAAAGATATTAGATAATCTTAACAGGTAGAGGAACACATATCTTCTGTATACCGATAGAACATCGGAATTCAGAATCACTATTGGAAGAGTTCAATAACTGACGAAATCATCAGTTATTCAGAATATGACTTGAGTCGGTAAGAAAGAAATGAAGATTCAGGACATTTACATTCTATGTCGATTATTCGGATTTTCTAACAACTCCAGATGAATAGTTCCCAGAACTAATGCTTGTCAACTGGTCAATTCATTATCCTTTCAGGGTATTTACTTTTTAATATCAAAAATTCTTATCTATATATCATCTTGGAATCATCGCTGAATAGATCTTAAAGAAACTAACAAATATACCAATGCTCTTAATTTCATTTCCACGCTTCCACGATATCATGAAATGCTGTCGTGCTTGATTTGTAGTTCATAACCCATAAGAACATTACATCATGTATGTTCATTAACGTTTTCAGACTCATCCAAATCACTTATTTAATCCATAGTCATTGAGGTTACTTATTTCACTTAGCAGTCAAGTCTATTTCAGATACTTCGGGGTTTTCCAAGGTAATTCAAACATTTCTGAATTTCGGATACATATTGTACTTCCGTTCAATTCAATTTGGTCTTCGTGGTTGATTTGTCTAACAAATATCAAATTCTTACTGTTGAATGCGATCTAGAGTTGAGCTGAGCTGAATACTTCCAAAATTATCATCGAGCCAAACTTGAGAATACAAACACACATTCAAGTGACATCTATATCGTTCAGGTACTGATATAACACTAGCATTGGTTTCTCGGCTTAATATGTGATCTGTAACTTTTAAGAGCAGTACCACATCCATGTTTATTTGGATTCCTTAATTAATCCAATACATTTCCTTAGTATATGCCATAAGGGTATTTTGGTCATTTTGTGTTCAGTTTATTCCAATCATTACAGAGCTCAAGGATATCTAATCATTCCTGATCTTGGTGATATTCTTGAGTCATTTCCATTACAGGGGTATTTTGATCATTGTACAGAT